AGGAGTCCTGGCTCCCAGCCCCACTGCTCTTACCCACCAGCCCCCACTCCCCCTCCAGAGCCGGGGAGAGAACTAGCAGCTCACACCCCTCCCTGCAATCAGCGTCCCCCCACATCCACACACCAGCCTGGAGACCCCACCCCAGCCCCCTATTCCCCACAGGGTCACCCGAGCCCTCCTGCTTGTTACCTTCAAAGCGATCCACGTGAGCTTGCGAGACAGAGAGAGAAGAGGTGTGTTAGCGGGACTGGGGGGCGCTCCCGGGCCGAGACCCGATGGACTCGGCTCACATGGGCACCAGGCTACAGCCCAGCTCAGGCTGGCCCACAGCTCCCAGGGCAGCCCCCCACCTTGGGGCCCCGGAAGGGCAGCACGGGGGGGGGGGTCCCCAGCTGGGAGTTACCTGCTTATACTTGCGGTAACATCGCTGGATCACAGCCGCCGCCGTCTCCTGTTGCTCCTTCAGCCGGCGGCCCTGGGGGGAGAGGGGAGTGAGGGGGGGGGCAGAGACAGAGCTGGGGGGGCAGGTCCCTGGCACCCGGGGACGGTGGGATGCGGGGGAGAGGGCTATCCTGTTGCTGGGCAGGGTGGTAAGGTGAGTGATGCTTGTTGCCATGGCGAATTCCCCGTTGCCAGGGGACCGTACATGGAGATGCCTGTTACCATGGGGAATTTCCCGTTGCCAGGAGACAGTACAAGAGACATGGAGATGCCTGTTGCCATTGGGAATTCCCCGTTGCCAAGGGATTGTACATGGAGATGCCTGTTGCCATGGGGCATTCCCAGCTGCTGGGGACCATACATGGAGATGCCTGTTGCCATGGGGAATTTCCCATTGCCAGGGGACAGTACAAGAGACATGGGGATGCCTGTTGCCATGGGGATTGTACATGGAGATGCCTGTTGCCATGGGGAATTCCCAGTTGCCGGCGCCCGTACATGGAGATGCCTGTTGCCATGGGGGATTCCCCGTTGCCAGGGGACCGTACATGGAGATGGCTGTTGCCATGGGGGATTCCCCGTTGCCAGGGGACCATACACGGAGATGCCTGTTGCCATGGGGAATTCCCAGTTGCCAGGGGACCATACACGGAGATGCCTGTTGCCATGGGGAATTCCCAGTTGCCGGGGAACCAGGCAGCAGCCTAGGGAAAAGTGCAGGATTCCCATAGGCAGAGGAGGATGGAGGGAGAGGGCGGACGCCCGTCGCCAGGAGGTACCTTGTACTTGCGGAAGGCGGTCTGGATGACGCGGGCGGCCTCATAGAGCTCCCGCTGCTCGTGGTCGGACAGTGTCAGCAGCGCAAACTCGCTCTCCATCTTCCCGTTGGCCGAGGCGTTGAGGAACTCAGCCCAGCTGGCGGCCGTGGAGGGCGGGGGCAGCCGGTCGAAGGGCAGCTCCCCGAGCGGGGCCTGCAGGGGGCTGAGACACACCCGGGACGAGGACATCGGCCTGGGGAGGCAGGGGGGTCATGAGACAGACCCCAGCCACCCCGGCGCCCCCTAGAGGGGACTGGCCGCTGCCCCATTCCCCGCCCCCCTGAGCCAGCCAGTCCCCGCCCTGGGGCCGGGTGGGAGCCGGCGCCCCCTAGAGGGGACAGGCCCCTGCCCCATTCCCCAGCCCCCTGAGCCAGCCAGTCCCTGCCCTGGGGCCGGGTGGGAGCCAGCGCCCCCCTAGAGGGGACAGCACCCTGCCCCATTCCCCGCCCCCCTGAGCCAGCCAGTCCCTGCCCTGGGGCTGGGTGGGGGCCGGTGCCGGGCGCAGGAGGGTTTTTCTCACCCGTCTCCCCCACAGCCCTATCTACTCGGAAGGCAGCGAGCTGCTGGTCCAGTTCGTGTCGGATCTCAGCGTCACGGCCGACGGCTTCGCCGCCTCCTACGCCGTCAAGAGCCCCTCGGAGGCGACCGATAAGGCCACGAAACCGGCCCCCGGGATCTTCCCCGGCTCCAAACCGGGCCAGGCCGGCACCAAGCCCTCCGGGAAACCGAAACCGGCGCCCGAGCCCAAACCCACCGTCCGGGCCCCGCCCACGGCCGAGCCACCCAGCGCCCAGACGCCGGGTAAGATGGGCCCCTGCGAACCCGGCCCTCCACCCAGCCCCCCTACCAGTGCCCCCCACTCTCGACCCACAGCCCCTGCTAGCCCAGCCCTGCGGTCCTTGGGCTGCGTGATTTGTGGGAGGGAGTATGTGAGCTGGGGGGAAGCTGCCCCCCCCAGGCTGAGCACTAAACCCCTCTTCTCCCCCCAGCCAAGGTTGAGTGCCCCCAGAAATGCCGCCGGTCGGGAAGTCTGCAGAGCCACTTCTGTGCCAACGACTTTGGTAAGAGACCCAGGAGTCGGGGGAGGGGGGGGTTCCCCTGGCTCTGGGGCAAGTGCCCCGAAGGACTCACCCCCCCGTGCCCTGTCTCACAGTTATCACCGGCACCGTGAAAACCGCCGTGCGAGGGGCCGGCGACCGGGTCACAGCCACTGTCTCGCTCCTCAACACCTACAAGACTGGAGCCCTCAGCCTGCCCCAGGCCGAGAAAGGGGCCACCCTGCGCCTGGAGGTCCCCTGCCGCCAGTGCCCCACCCTGAAGAAAGGTGAGCGAGCTGCGGGCTGGGCCATGGGGAGCCCCATCCCAGAGGTGGGCGCATCTCAGCGCTGGGCGAGGGGTCCGCGGGTAACTGGCCGCCCCGCCCCAGAGGTGGGCGCGTCTCAGCGCCGGGAGAGGGGTCCCCGGGTAACTGGCCGCCCCGCCCCAGAGGTGGGCGCGTCTCAGCGCCGGGAGAGGGGT